ACCCCCACTGAAAACTACCCGTGCCACCACTGTACGTGCTAGTAGCAATACCAGTATCAAGTACGTCCTGCTACTGCCAGTAGTACCAGAGCTGCTAGCACAGTAGCGACGGCAGCTAGTAGCCGTATCTGGATGCCCATACCACAAACCATGAATCTCAAACCCATGCCCTAAGCACCCCGACCAGACACCCGACCCTTGAAGCCAAGAGCCAGTTTGCAAACTGCCAAACCCATAAGCCCCAACCACGAATGTAGCACAATTTCAGTAGCCAAGCATCCAAGGCCAAGATTAGAATCCCTGTAGCCCAAAAGCCATATAGCCAATGGCTTGGAACCTATCCCCATTGAAACCTAGGCTGTAAACCCGATATAATTCAATCTTGCTAGTCGAACGAAGCCCTAACCCCCACACCTTAGCCCCAGACTCTATCATCCCTGACACGTTAAGGATCAAAGGGCTGAAAAACCTGCAGGCTCAACGATTAGAGCAGGGTTTCGAAGCCATGCCCATGTCTGGCCTCGGCAGCCAAGGCTCGCCACGTTTTTTCCTTTTTCTCCTTCTTCTCCTTCACCTCCTTCGGCTTCCCGTTCTGCAGAGGCTGCGGGTCATCCTCCGCCGCCATCGCATCATCCCTCAGTATAATCAGGGAGGACACTCGAAGATTAATGTACAACTATAACATTATTATATAAATACATAATAAAGTAAGCCGTAGACATACCCTGCATGATCTCATCCTCATCCCCTTCTGCCGTGAGCTGGAACTCAGCCGAATGTGCGAAATTCTTCTGTTCCTCGTCTCTGATCTCCTGGAACGACTTGTAAAGCCGCATTTCCTGGATCGGAGGCTGTCATCAGGAATTTAGCAGGGTCGGTGGAGGCACAGTGTTTTAGTGAGGCAGTCGTACGTACTGTCCCCCATGGTCCTCGGAGAGGGGGAAGTCCGGGTGACTTAGCTTGCACATATAATCTGAAGGAGCTCGCGATAGTATTGAAACACATTATTGCAATTGAGATACGGGCGGACGAACTTGCCCGACATCTTCGGATCACTGGCCATGTGTCGGGTGGCTAGGTCTTTCGCTAGCTCCTCCCCGAGCTCTACTTTTAGCACCCGATAGGACTTCCACAGATAGACCAGTTTGGACTTGCGCTTGGTCTCCTTCCTGCATCGAGATGAAGCGGATTGGGATCGGGCTCCGTTTTTTTGAAGTATATATACGGGGTTTTGAGAACATTGGGCTCAGACTGCGGGGTTTAGCTGTAGGTTTGAATCCCATGGAGTTAAGGGTTTTGCTTCTTCTAGCCTTAAAGACCAGGTTTTTGCGACGGAAGCTAGCTGCCCCTCAATTGGGAGATACCTTCGGGCCTGCTTGAAACCCCACCATCTTATTATATGAATAATTTAATGACTATAGCTCTTGATGCAGGTTGATGTGTGTCCTCATCGTCACCACGATCACACTGGACTTCCAATCGGCCCGGCAGCTCAGATAGTGAACGTAGAGCTCATGCATTTTGTGCGTCCGGTTCGCACCTGTAGTCGAAGATATTGCTGTATAATTGTGAAACACACACACACACACACCCACCATGCACAATAATATAATTTAGCAAGTAGCACTAGTACTACTAGTACTACGGTTGATGATATAAATCCTGCATTATCTGAAGGACCCTAAACTATGGGAATTATGGTAGATTCCTAGCCTTACTATGGGTTATGCAGGATTTCTATCATCAAC